TGTTTTCATTCATATGGGCCTCCGTATGTCACCTACCCTTCCAGATAGACAGGATCTGACGAGGTCGGGGCGGGGGTGGGGAGAGCTGCACCCTGGTCTTTCCACAGGGCCCCCAGCCCGCTCGCAGCCCAGCCTGCCTTCCCGAGCCCCTGGGGTCACAGAGGTTCCCGCCTGGTTTTCAAGTTCACCGAAATCTGCGCCCCGCTCCTCCTCCCCATACATCAAAGGGTTTGGGACAGTCCAGGCCCAAAACTCGAAACTCATCGAGTGTTTACTGAAGGGGGAGGGGATCAGGAAACAGCTGTGTGACAGGCCCTGGGCTGGGTCCCCCGGGGGTCACACTTGGCCATCTGCATCTCCTCTTAAGGCTAATCTCCCCGGTTCTCAGAGGAGCAGCCCATTAACTCAGATAGCTGGGAAAATGATGGAAACCATCTTTTTTTTTTTTTTTTTTTTAACATTCTTATCATGCAGTGTTTATGTTTCAGGATCCGGAGGGCCTTTCGAACATCGACCTTTTACTAGCCGTACAAGCCTGGAGACGTGGGTGCTGGGAACTCGAGGGGGACTCACCCCAACTCACAGACCCTAGTCAAGTCCACAGAGAGCTGCATGTGCACGGGCGGCAGGCAGTGGGATTTACATCGGTGACCGTGACCACCTGAGGTCTGGTCTGGTTTGCCTGCTGTCCAGTCTCCCAGCAGAGTCCCAGAATCTTGAGTCTGGCCCCCCTCAGCTCTGCAAGGCAGGTTTGTCTTTACCTTGCACCATCCACAGCAGGTGGTGGGATGGGGGCTCCGGTCCCAGAATGAGGTCCCCCGGGCCCCCTTCCCTCACCTGGAAAGCTTGTGCCTCCCCCCTCCCCACCCCCATCTCTTTACTCCCCTCCCCCTGTCTGGCCCCCCAGTGCAGTGGCAATCACACAGCCAGCCTCCCTCCTGGCTCAGCCGGCAGTTCTGCTGGAATTCCCACCCGCGCTGAGGTCTCACTTTAGAAAAATAAATGCAGAACCGGATGCTGGGTCATGGGGACTCGGGCTGAGTACAGAGAATGATAAATTCTTAAGGAAAATCCTATTTTCCCTTTCCAGCACAGTCCACAGAAACTTCAGTTTTCAAAGTAATACAATTTCAGGGGGTGCCTCCTAGCTCCTGCTGCCCCCACAGCCCTGGTGGGCACCGTTGTCTGGGCGTGGTTTCCAGGGCGCAGCCCCGAGTGGCTCGGACAGAGCCATGTCCCCCTATGCACATCCAATGCTGCTCTTGACATTGTCCTGCTTTTAGAGCATATGGTTTGCCATATGGCAAGCTCGCCACTTCTAAAAGATCTTGGTTTCACCTGAGTTTTGGCAGGTGGAATGACCTTTCCACACGAAAGCAGAGAACTGTGCATTTCCCAGTGTGGGGCCGGACAGGAGAACAGCTGACCCCGGGTCCAGGAATAATGAAGGCCCCGAGGCCTCCCACCATAGGGCCCTCCCTCATTTGTCCCCTCTCTCTTCCCTTCCCTCCCTCTCCTCCCTCTCCCTCTCTCCCTCCCTCTGTTCGGCTCACTTGGAGCCCAGTGGCCATGGTGCGAGGAAACACACGGTTGTTCCAACTGCACCAGGCATCTCCCGCTGGAGGAGGCTGGGCTGCTGAGGAGCTGACCTCAGCCTTCCCCCACCCTGTCGAGCCCAGAGGGCAGGTCCGTGGGCACAAGGACATGGTTGTCTCCAGACACGAGCCTTCTCTGGGGTCTGCCGTGTGGTCCCCACGGATGCAGTCCTCAGTGGGCATCTGCTGGTAGCTCGCAGGCCACTCTGTGTGGACGTTGGGGACCCAGTGACAACAGGACACGGGTGGCCTGCCTCTAGGGGGTGGGTGTCAGTGCTCTGAAGGACCTCATGCATGGAGCCATTGGGCCATCTGCACAGGGTGCCCTGTGCATAGTGAATGACAGGAGACACATGCCCTATGACTGTCACAGAGTGGAGATGCCCCCCAGGTACAAGCTGCTGTGTGCATATAGAGGGGGTCCTCTGGCCTCGGCCCAAGCATGAGGGGGACGAGGTGTGGGAGGACACAGTGTGGGGTGCCAGCATCAGCAAGACAGGATAAGGGACAAGTGCAGGGAAGAATCCAGCCAGTCCTGCCTCCTTGGCTTCCCTTGGTGTCCACTCCCAGAGGAACAGCACCTCTCCACATTCTTGGATGGCACTGGGATGGGTGAGGGGCTGCGAGGCCAAGGCGGGCCTCAGGGACAAGTTGGGGTGGTGAGCGGGGATGCAGAATTCTGGAAGCTGGCCTGGGAGGACTCATCATCTATCCAGAACCCAACACCTTGTGGGTTTAGGGTCTTCCTTTTGCAGCCAGTCAACCCTGCTTTGCTTTAGAAACTCCTGGATGGGAGAGGGCTGCAGAAGGGAAAGCTGGGATGGCCCGAAACCCAATGAGCGCACCCCAACCAGCCTGGCAGCCTTATCCTGCAGCCACCGTCTGTCCACACCAAGCAGTTCTGGGCCCCCGGGAGCCTCCTGACCCTTCCCGTCCCCACGTGGCCCTGCTTGAGAAAGTGCAGGCTGCGGGAGCCCAGCCAGAATCCCCACTCTCCCGGTGCCCCCCATCTGGCTCACTGAGCTCATGGGAAAGAAGGGAGCTTGGAGGACATGTGTCCCCAGAATGCTCAATGGCCACCACCTGTTTTCCCCACCCTGTGCTAAAATATGGAGTCTGTCTGACTGTCGTCCGAGCCCTCAAAGGATGGGTCCCCATCCAGGTCGTCTTCACACACTGAGCACAGAGCTTGGGTGCTGGTTTGTCCACATACGGGAGCACACGCAGGGACCATCACATCCAGCACGGCGCACTCCGGCTCGTCAGTGTGGGTCCCTGCATAGAGGGAATTTCTAACACGCCGCTGGACCCCAGGGAAGGCCGTCAGACATGTCTGAAAGGAGCGCGTACTTCGGTGTTGGATGGAGGGACCTTGTCTCCTGAATTCTGAAATTCTCAGGATTTCATTCAGGCTGGACTTTTGAGGCATGAACCCCATAGGCAGCCGACACTGTTGCTGTGGACAAGCTTCTCTGTGGAGGGTGTTGGCGAGCGGCCGGAGCTGTGGCTCCCCTGTTCCCGGGCTGCGTGGGAAGCCCACGCCAGCCCCCAGAGGGCTGGGCAGAAGTCGAGCCCCCTGGAAAGCACGGTCAATTTTCTCGAGATCCATAGGAAGGAACCAACATGTCCCCGCCCTTTGTTCTTCCACTTCCATCAAGGTCTCCTTGTTCCGGGGCCTCCCAGATGCCAGGGCTGAGTGGCAGAATCGGACTGTCTCGGGCAAAATGCGAGTTGGGCATGAGGAGGTTGGGGACCACTGTTTGACTATCCAGCCGACCTCGTGGCCTTTGGCTTCCTCCAGTTAATTCCGGGAGAGGCGTCCAAGGTGCCTTCCGGCTCTGATTCTCAAGGACACTCACTTTCTCCTCGCTTGTGCGGTATCTTGCTACCTGGCACGGGGCAAGCCATGTGGTTCTCTGTCCGGCAAGGAGCTTCATGCCCACCAGTGTCTTACCATCGTGATGCTTGGGTGGAAATCACTTCTTGGTAAGCTTAAAAAGACAGTTGGGGACAGAGCATGTCTGGGCTCCTTGTGCGGGGAGTGTGCCCCGAGCACGCTCACCGGTGCACACACACCCCTCCTGCCCCTCCACCTTCTGTTCCGCACAGTCTCCGGTGCCGCCGCTGCCCATGACTCCGGAGCAGCTCGAGGTGGTGGCCTCTGTCCTATTCCCAGGCAGATAACCCAGGGAGGAGTGTGTGTGTTTATTTTAAGAGAGGCTTCCAGAAGGCAGAGACGTCCCCTGCATCTCACAGAGGGCCTGTCATGGAGAACAGACCCAGGGTGGATGCCCTCTGGCTGTGTAATTGCTACTCTGCATGCAAGGAAATGAGCAGCCACAGCTAACAGGTAGCCAGTTTGGGAGTAACCGAAAAGTCCTGTCCCTACATAGAAATGACACCGTAGCACAAAGCAGAGGGTTTGTTCGCTTTCTTAAAGATCCAGGCAAAGCCACAGGGAGCAGAAACAAGGCCAGCGTCACCACCTCCCGGGTCTAATGACCAGCCATCCTCCGAGAGGCCCAGCCCTGCCTGGCTGCCGCCCCGACCTCAGGCATTCACGGAGGGGAGCGCGCTCTGCCTCCCCCGCGGCAAGGAGCAGGGAGACTTCTTTTCCTCTGGCTTGTTAGGGTCAGGGTCACCAAGCAGGGGCGAAACACAGAGATGAGACCCTGGAGGGATATACCACCCTGCCACGGGCCTGGGCCCCTCCACGCGCACACATGGTGGTCTGCAGCTCCATGGCTGTGGTCGGACAGCCTCCAGCAGAGCCTGGGGGGCATCAGGATGAGGGACTTCTGCCTTGTTTCCTCCCTTCCTCCTCTTTGCTTTTATGGGATTCAACCCTTCAGTTAGATTGCTCGAGGGAACGGACTCTAGGGACACTTGAATGGTTTTGCGCAGAGGAGAGCCTTGTTTGGGAGGCATCTGGAAAGGAATTAGCAGTCAAACCAGCAGGACTCAACCTTACAGCAACCCAGAGGCCGGAGTCGGGCCAGAGTCTGCAGCCAGTGCTCTGAGGCTATCCCATTGCACATCTCTGAGAGCAGGGAAGTCTGTTTGGCCTCCCAGTTATGAGGCATCTCCCATTCCATGTTCTCCAAGCACTGTGAAATTCTCCTTCTGAGCATTTATCACCCTGGCCAATAAATAACTGCAATTATTTAATGTCAGTCCCTCACTCTGGAATGTGGAACATGGGTCAGTTCCCTATCTGCCTTCTTCGCTGCTGCATTCCCTGTGCCTAGAATAGCACTTTACACATGCAAAGAGTTCATATTCATTACATAGATAGATGGAACAGGGATGCATGGATGAGTTGATGTATGTATGTATGAATGGATGGGTGGATGGATGGATAGATTGATGGATGCTAGAGGGATGGATGGGTGGATGGATGGACGGTTAGGTGGGTGGATGGATAGTAGGTGGGTGGATGGTGGGGCGGACGGATGGGTGGTTGGGTGGGTGGGTGGATGGATGAATATGTTGATGGGTGTGTGGGTGGATGGATGGTGGGTGGATGGGTGGGTGGATAGGTAGATAAGTGGATGGATGGATGGATGGATAGAGGGAGGGATGGGTGAGGGGTAGGTGGGTGGATGGATGGGCGGTTGAGTGGGTGGGTGGATGGATAGGTGGTTGGGTGGGTGGGTGGATGAATGAATATGTGGATGGGTGTATGGGTGGACGGATGGGTGGGTGGGTGAATGGATGGATGGATGATTGGGTAGATAAGTGGATGGATGGATGGAGAGAGGGAGAGATGGGTGAGTGGTAGGTGGGTGGATGGATGAGTGAATAGATGGGTGGATGGATGGACGGATGGATGGGTGGCTGGTGGGTGGGTGGTGGGTGGATGGATGGATGGATGGGTGGATAAGTGGATGGATGGATGGTTGGGTGGGTGGGTGGATAAGTAGATGGATGAATGGATGGATGGTGGGTGGTGGGTCAGTGGACGGTTGGGTGGGTGGGTGGGGGATGGATGGATGGATGAATGGATGGATGGGTGGATAGATGGGTGGATGGATGGATGGATGGATGGATGGGGGGATGGATGGAGAGGTGGATGGATGGATGGATGGATGGGGGGATGGATGGAGAGGTGGGTGGATGGATGGATGGATGGGTGGGTGGTGGGTGGGTAGATAGATGGGTGGGTAGATAGATGGATGAGTGGATGGCTGGCTGGCTGGATGGTGGGTGGGTAGACAAATGGATGGGGAATGGATGGGTGGATGGGCAGGTAGGTGGATGGGTGGAGCCCATAGGGTCATAAAGTATTTTGTTCTTGTCTAACCAAGTGAACTCCATCAGCTCTCTGTAACCAGAGGTTTCTACTGGAAGACTGGATTTCCCAGTGTGTTTGACAGCAGTGAGGGCAGCTGGATGGATGGGCACACAAGTGTGGTATCTCTGCTGGACCACATGGATGGGAGCAGAGAGCTCTGTCCCTTGGGACAGCACCACCTGGGCTGTGAGGCTGTCCCCTGGACCCATCTGCAGAGCTCAGAACAAAGCCTGGGCCGTCTCTGTAGGCCTCCTCACCCTATAAACCATGTGTATTTATGTAACACTTCAGGCCTGATGGAGACCAGATGTGACCAAATGGTGGTGTGGGCTGCCCTGGGATGCTGGAATGCCAAACCAGACACCTTTTATGGCTGTTGGTATTCAGCAATCTCTCTAGAAGTCTTAGGTCTGAGCCCTGATAGACATTCACAAACGTCATTCTTTTGTAAAATGGAAGCATCCAGCATTCCCTGTTTCATCTGCTATGCTTGTGAGAAGAGCACATTCACATAGAATTTCTATTATCAGTCACCCAAGGGCAGAAGGAGGGATGTAGGGGGAGAGGAGCCATCCAGGGACACAACTGGGTGGCCTGGAGCTGGTCGGTACTCTCTGGAACCCAGTTTTCCGATGATAATTTCAAGAGTTCCTGTTTTTTGAACACCTCCTTTGTTCTGGGCACACATGCTGAGTGATAGTGGCACCTCACCATCTCGTCTCTTACTTACACGGGCACATGGACACAGGGCATGGCTTACCAATACCACAACAGTGGGCAAGGGGGGGCATGTGTGAGTCTAGGCATCCCGATCTAAAACACCTTTCCATTACTAGGAAGTTTTCTGTTTTGTCTTCCAAAGAGAGCGTGGCGAGGGACCCTGAGGAGGGTGCACACACTTCCCCCATCTGAGGTTTTAGTACAGACACTTAGAGGGCTACAAGCAAGAACCCTGCTTGCTGTGCAACCCAGTGTTCCCCAAGCTAACCATCCTCCCCAAACCTGTGCCCTCTGAAACTCCCATTAGTGTCCTGAAGCACACCAATAGACCTTCCCACGCAAACACCAGTCGATGACCTAGCCCATGCCGACCCCCTGGCCCTGGCCACTGTGCTTGACGGGCTTGACGGGCTTCCGTCATCATAATACTGCCGTCCCACGTTGCCCTCCTGTTGTATGCCTGCCCTGGGTTTCCGGAAAGCTTCTCTCTCTCTACACATGCATGCTCACTACAGAGGGACTTTCTGTACTGTAAATGATAGATTCTGAAGTGGAATTTGCCCTGTGCAATTTATCCAAGGAACAGGGAAAAAAATGTACCAAACCTGACAATTAGGGTTTTGCAGCAAGTTTTTAAGAAACATCGGGTTGCAGACATTCCAATCACTCCACAAAACCTGCCCTGATGTCCACTCCAGCTGCCACCCCAGCTTTCCTCCAGCGTGCACGCTCTGGGGTGAGAGCCAGTGCCCGGTTTTGGTCACACACGGTGTGCCTGGGGCAGGCTGTTGAGACTCTGTCTCCCTCCATGGCAGGCACCTCCCCTGACAAGACTGGGCTGCAAGAAGGAGCCCATAGCGGAGCTCACATCCATCAGGCCGCACTGAACTGGGAAAGCGGTCCACCACGGCCAAGCAGGACGAGAGGCCCGGCTTCCGACTGTCTCACCTGCCAAAAGGCCATGGGGCTGCGGTCCAGCCCATACACAGTGCGTCCTTCAGAGCCCAGAGATACCCCCCAGCTCAGAGTCAGTGAGATCGCCCCCCAGGGTGACATTCTCCACAAGGTAGCACGCTGTCCATGCCCACAATGGGCAAGAGATGGCCACGTAGTCTGCCATCAAAGCCTATGGGGTCTGCTGATACAGCAGGGACCGGCAGACTGTGTGATTCCAGCCCCAACCTAAGACACACCTGAACAAGGAAACCAAGAGCAGAGGGCCCTGTGGCCCTTCTGAAACACAAAACCATCTCAAGGGAGGGAACCGCAGTCTTCTGAGTACATGTCACGGGAGCTCAGCCCAGACCAGCAAACCCTAACTGATGCGCCCGCAGCGCACAGCCCAGCACTCCACCCCAACTTGTGGGGGAAGGGTCTGCAACTGTCCACGCATCCACTTGCCCTGGCTTTCTAGCTGTCCAAACCCAAATAAACAAAACGTTGCTGTGCCCAGATGGAACTGATATAAAATGTTCCACAGCAGTTAAGAGTCTGCTTTTCCTTGCTTTCTTTCCGTGACATCATGTAAAAGTCACTTTACTGAATTTAAGCATAAATTCAAACTCCATCAGATAGAATTTTGAAAGTAACAAAGGCCCTTTTATGCAGATCTGATGAACTTTTTGTTTAAACTTTTTTGTTTTACTCTGATTGTAAAGATCAGCCGTGTTTATTAAGTAAGATGTGGAGAATACAGAAAGTACCAAATAAAAGAATAAAAATGACTCGTGACCACCCCACCCTATCATTGTCTCTTGACAAGAAATCCTGATGGTCTGAAGAAGTCGAGGCACTGTGAGCTTGTGACCCATGTCCTTGGCCACATCCGCGAGGTTGACCCTCTAAATGCTTTGGGACACCAAAACTGTATTTCTTATCATAAAAGAGGAAAACTGGACAGTTTTGTATGAATTTGATACCTTACCAAGATTGCTACCCTCACTCTACCATATCTCAGAAAACTAGCAGTTTTGGGTAGCTGAACCCATTTTAGCAAAATCTTCACTTATCCCAATGCCGGGCACAAAAGGCTGTACCCCCTCCTTACCCCATAGTTAGAAGGTCAAAGCCTGAGACCAGTGGGACCTCATCACCCGCCTGACGGGTGAGACACTGGGTTTCTGCCCGGCCCCAAGGCCGGAGCGCCACGGGCCAAACACCATGTCCTGCGACCAGAGCCAGCCAGGATGAGAGGGATGGATGGCCTATAATCAGCCAGGACAAGGGCTCCCAGGGCCACATGGAAGACTCAGTGTATGCTCCTGACCCCACAGAGGAAGGGGCCGCACATAGTCCCAGGGAGAACGTCGCCGGGCAGACACCCCAGCACGGCACTCCCCAGGGGCTGTCCGCCCCATCTCCACAGCGCCAGCCTCCGTGTCCACAACACACTTTGCCTCTTAAAGTGATTATTGGCGTCCTTCTTCCCTGGGAGCATGAATGGAAGGGCAGGGATGGGGGTCTCTTTAATCTGCCTCTTTGTTTTCAGAATGCTGCTTGGCAAAATGAGTGTCAAATAAATGTTTGAAGATAGAAACATGAATAAGTGAAGCACATTATTCTTTTGGAAAGGAAATACAGGCCATAGAAGCTCAAGGGGAGAAGCAGAAGGTAGCGATGGTCCACATGGGAAGCACTAGGTGGGAGACACAAGAGAAGGCTTTTGATTTTTAAGCAGAGCATTTCTGTCCTAGCGGCGGACAGACTCCTGCAGAGAATGTGTGGTCCTTGCAAATACTGGGAATGAATAGTGACATAAAACACAATGTCAAGGCTGTGCTTTTTCCCCCAATGCTTAGTGTCAATCTATGGCCAGAATATAGAAATTTGACCAAAACAGAATGTAAGGGTTACCATAAAATACAGCCAACGGATTTGATGGATAACAGAGCAAGGAGCTGGGGGAACTTTAGATGCTAATGTCTGTATTCAAATTAGGTAGAGTTAAGACGCCCTGGGAAGGGGCTGGGATGGAGAACAGAGTTTAAGGGGGTCATTTAAATCAATCAATCAAATCACAAAATACGATGTAATTATCATATTTGGAAGGAGGGAGGGGAGGTGGTGGAGTGAGTGGTGGATAGGACGAGGGAGAAAATGCCTGGAATTCCCAGTGCATAGTCAGGAAGGAACATCTAAAATTCAAAAACAAGCAGGACATGTGAGCGTGTCATTTACAAGGCGGGAGATGACCACTGGAAGGTGTCAAAACATGTGGACAAGAAGGAGAGGGACAGTCCTGAGAAGGGAGGGGAGCTGCTAGACATGAGCTTTGCAGCATGAAGGGACCTTGCCTTGTTTCAACACTGAAAAGAATTATTTAAATTACTAGTAAAGAGCCTTCCCAGAGAAAATACTATACGGAAAATCTGAACCATCCTCTCGAAGACAGCTCTGAGGGACAAGTCCTTCAGCTCAAAAGTCAAGGTTTGGAAGGCATTTTCCACATTATCCAGAGAAAAGGAAGACCCACTAGATCTGTCAAGAAGGCAATTGCTGGCGACGTCCCCCAAAACAGCAGGCTGAGCAGATCTGAGTTTCCCACCATGACAAAGGCAAAGACACGATGGCCTAGAAATGTGGAACGCCTAGCCTAGCTCACAAGAACAAAAAGGAATAGTCTCAGAACCACGACGGAGCTTAGAGCAGGAACTGGCACAGGGCAGGACTGGTGTGGACCCCCGGCCCCCGATCCCGCGCGGGTGACCGGTCGTGGGACAGGGGTGCCCAGATCAGGCCGGGAGCCACAGAGCACTCCTCGCCGTTTCTCACGGAGGCACACGCAAAACCCCACTGCTGGTTCAGGGAAGCAACGCAGAAGCTTGCCATGCGTCTGAGACCTGGAAGGGCAGAAGTATGGAGTGGGAAATCAAATACCCAGACCTGCGCTGTGCACACCTCTACTTGAGCCATATGAGACGGGCATTGCCAGCTGAGAAACTGAGAGAGAAGAGCCATGGTCCCCTGGCAGAAGCAAGCACCAGCCTCCCACAGGGCCCCCCACGGATGCCAGACTCTCCAAGCTCCCGCAGAGAAAGGAACCCTCCCTGCCAGGAAGGGCTCACAGGGAAAAGCGACAGAA